TCCTTGTTTTGTTTTTTAATCTAACTAATCCTTGTTTTACTTTCCTTTTCTCATTTATGTATCTAAAAAATGTTTTGTGCCTTTTTTACTGACTGTGCTATTTTCTCTTTTGTGTGTAATTTGGAAGCTCTTATAACTTGCTTAGCCTGTTTCTGCCTAATCTTATAGATCATTCTGTCTTCCTCACTATGTTTTTTTTATAATCACTAAATGCTAACTTTTGTTTTTTACTATTTTGGCCACAGCTGCAGAGCACCACAGTGCTTTCTTGAATTTTTTGCTTTTACTGACAAGCCTAATGAAATTTTCTGTTGCCTTCAGCAGTGCAACTTTTTAATAATCCCATTTCTCTTGGACTCCATTTAAATTGCTCTAGTCCGATAATGACTCCTTTACTCATATTCTAATTTTGGAAAAGTCTGTTTTTCTAAAGTCTAAAACTTTTGTTTATGTGTGGTGTGACTCAGTTCTTATATTAAACCACACTGACTGATGATCACCGGATCCTAAACTTTCACCTACAGTAATATCTGATACCAAATCTCCATTTGTTAACACTAAATCTAGTATTGCCTCTTTACGAGTTGGCTCCTTAATTACTTATTTTAGAGACAATCCCAGTAGGGAGTTTAGAATATGTGTGCTCCTGGCACAAGTAGCTATTTTGGTTTCCCAATATACATCAGAAAGATTAAAGTCACCCATGATGATAACTTCTGCCTTCATTGTCATTTTAGCTATTTCCTCAACTAGTAGATTTTCTAACTCTTCTATTTGTCCTGGGGGTCTATAAATCACACCTACATGAGTTACTGTGTGATAACCAAACAGACTCTATGTTCGCCTCGCTAACTTTTATTAGGCTAGATTTTATGCTATCCTTCATATACAGGGCCACCCCTCCCCTTTTCTTGCCTTCCCTGTCTTTTCTATATAAAGACTACCCTGCTATTGCTATGTCCCAGTCATTTTTCTCATTATACCATGTCTCAGTAACAACAACTAAATTTACATTATCAGTTGCCTTTATTGCCACAAGTTCACGGATCTTATTCCCTAAAATGCAAGCATTTGTAGACATGACTAACTTAATTTTTTAACACACTTGCTACAGGCACCTTCTGTCCATGTTTTGGGGGGAAATTGGATTGATGTTTTATCACCCTTTTGCCCCCCCCCCCAGTTTAAATACATCCTAGCAAAACCTCTGAACTGCTGACTGAGAACATTTGTTCCCTTTTGAGAAAAATGCAAACCATCTTTTTTGTACAGTTTATTTCCATTCCAAACAGAGCTACCATGAGAAATGAAGCCAAATCCTTGCTCCCGACACTATTCACCAAGCCACAAGTTAAAGTCCCTAATACGTATCCACCTGTCGTTCTGAGTGTTATGCATAGGCAGAACTTCAGAGAATGACAGTGTTGAAGCAACCTGCCGTATATCATTAGCAAAAACACTAAAAAACTTCCTTTACCTCTGAAACCTCATTGCAAGCCAAGTAATTTGTCCCTAGATGGACAAGTACATCCAATTCCAATACGTCTCCTTTCTCTGTGAGCAGTAGCTCTGGGAATACATCTCACAAGACAACCATTGTCCAGCTCCACACCTCTTATGATAGAATCCTCCAACAACAACTGCATTTTATTGGCCATAGTCTCCAAGCCTGTCTCCACAACACAACTACTCTCGGTGCCTGAGCCTGTCTCCACAACACCACTACCCTCAGTGCCTGAGCCCGTCTCCATAACACCATTCCACTCTGAAAGTGCTAAAAATAAATTATGTAGAGCAACAGACTGTGCAATATGCCTTGTATCCACAACTCTAAGTCTACTAGACCCTACAGTAATCCATCTGCCATTCCTAGTAGGCCTCTGCGGCAGTGGCTTTGCAGCAGTACCTGCCTGAGTTTGTTTACCACATAATTTACAAATCTCAGACTTCAAAAATGTAATCTCTTGCCGCAATGTAGAGAACTGTCTACAGATTAGACAGCATCCAAATCTCCAAAAAGTGGAACGTGAAACAAATGCATAACAACTATTACACTGAACTAAGTTTGCCATTTTAATGAGGTGAATAATTTAAATAAAACCTTAAATTTTTTATGTTTTTTGTCCTCCTGTATAACTCAGATTATCTCCAGTTTATCTCTAGAATATCTCCAATCACACACCTTGAAGCAGCACTTAAATGTAGCAACCAAGCCATATATATATATGCACACCAGTCAAGCCATAAGACTTGCTCTTCCCACATAAAATCACACATCCTCAGTTATATTACTACCACAAAGGATTCTTGGTGGGCATATGCAAATTAGTTTAACAAAGAATCACACTTTTGCCTCATGTCATTTTAATATATATATATATATATATATATATATATATATATTGTTGTTTAATATTGTATTAACTATCCACAGACTTCAGGTGGAAGGGGTTTTCAATCATAATTTTTTACCCATCATAACCTTTTTGATTTTTGCTTTCCAAGCACTACCAAGCCTCAATAAGCAAACCAGTAACCAACCTCATGCTGATGAGTTGCATTAACAATGAAACAGCTGTCCATGAGTGGGTTACTGGCTTTGCATATTTTCCTAAGATGTGTTTCAAAGCTGTTGTATACCACAAACACAGACTCAAAGGAATCCATGTGTAAAATGGAATGAGGCAAAAATGTAAATCTTTGTTAAACAAATTTTCATATGCCTACCCAGAATCCTTTGCAGTAGTGACATTTTATATATATATATATATATATATATATATATATATATACAGGTGATACTCGAAAAATTAGAATATCGTGCAAAAGTTCATTTATTTCAGTAATGCAACGTAAAAGGGGAAACTAATATATGAGATAGAAGCATTACATGCAAAGCAAGATAGTTCAAGCCGTGATTTGTCATAAGTGCGATGATTATGGCTTACAGCTCATGAAAACCCCAAATCCAAAATCTCAGTAAATTAGAATATTACATGCAATCAATAAAACAAGGAGTGTACATAGAGTGTACATAGAACAATATCGGACCTCTGAAAAGTATAAGCATGCATATGGACAAATGAAATGCAAAAGTTGCTCTCATCAGAAAAGAGGACTTTGGACCACTGAGCAACAGACCAGGTCTGTTTTTCTTTAGCCCAGGTAAGACACTTCTGATGCTGTTTGTTGTTCAGGAGCGGCTTGACAAGAGGAATACGACATCTGAAGCCCATGTCCAGGATCCGTCTGTGTGTGGTGGCTCTTGATGTACTGACTCCAGCCTCAGTCCAATCCTTGTGAAAGTCCCCAACACTTTTGAATGGCCTTTTCCTGACATCCTCTCCAGGCTGCGGTTATCCCTGCTGCTTGTGCACCTTTTTCTTCAACACTTTTCCCTTCCACATAACTTTATATTAATGTGCTTTGATACAGCACTTTGGGAACATCCAACTTCCTTCACAATTACCTTTTTAGGCTTTACCTCAATGAGTTGCACTGGTGTGACACTGTGCCCTGGCAGGCCCTGAAACGCAATGATGGTTTTCTGCATAACTGTCAGGTCAGCAGACTTCCCCATGATTGTGATTCCTACTGAACCAGACTGAGAGACCATTTAAAGGCTCAGAAACCCTTTGGAGGTGTTATGGCTTACTTAGCTGATCAGAGTGGGACACTGTGAGCCTACAATATTGCACCTTTTCACAATATTCTAATTTACTGAGATTGTGGATTTGGGATTTTCATGAGCTGTAAGCCATAATCATCGCACTTATGACAAATTATATCTTGCTTTGCATGTAATGCATTGATACTAAGATATGTAACAGGGTTGATGTTCCAGGAGGGATAAGCCAAATGACAAATGATTTAGGTAAACTAGAAAAATGGTCAGAATTGTGGCAACTGACATTTAATGTGGATAAGTGCAAGATAATGCATCTTGGACGTAAAAACCCAAGGGCAGAGTACAGAATATTTGATAGAGTCCTAACCTCAACATATGAGGAAAGGGATTTAGGGGTGATTATTTCTGATGACTTAAAGGTAGGCAGACAATGTAATAGAGCAGCAGGAAATGCTAGCAGAATGCTTGGTTGTATAGGGAGAGGTATTAGCAGTAGAAAGAGGGAAGTGCTCATGCCATTGTACAGAACACTGGTGAGACCTCACTTGGAGTATTGTACACAGTACTGGAGACCGTATCTTCAGAAGGATATTGATACCTTAGAGAGGGTTCAGAGAAGGGCTACTAAACTGGTTCATGGATTGCGGGATAAAACTTACCAGGAAAGGTTAAAGGATCTTAACATGTATAGCTTCGAGGAAAGATGAGACAGGGGGTATATGATAGAAACATTTAAATATATAAAGGGAATCAACACAGTAAAGGAGCAGACTATAATTAAAAGAAGAAAAACTACCACAACAAGAGGACATAGTCTTAAACTAGAGGGACAAAGGTTTAAAAATAATATCAGGAAGTATTACTTTACTGAGAGGGTAGTGGATACATGGAATAGCCTTCCAGCTGAAGTGGTAGAGGTTAACACAGTAAAGGAGTCTAAGCATGCGTGGGATAGGCATAAGGCTATCCTAACTATAAAATAAGACTGGGGACTAATGAAAGTATTTAGAAAATTGGGCAGACTAGATGGGTCGAATGGTTCTTATCTGCCGTCACATTCTATGTTTCTATCTCATATATCAGTTTCCCCTTTTACGTTGCATTACTGAAATAAATGAACTTTTGCATGATATTCTAATTTTCAGGTATCACCTGTATATATATCCTGATCCTGATGAAAGTTCACAAGGTGGACTGAAACGTTGATTTTATGGAAACTGAATAAAAGTTATTTTTTAAATGAAAATCCGTAAGTGCAGCCATCCTATCTGCTTATATATATATATATATATAAATAAAACAAGAGGGGGTTGGCTGCACTCACCTTAACATGCATAAATGGGGGTGCTGCTGGGGGCCAAATAATACAATACACAAGATCCAGCGCACTCACCTATCCACTAAACAGCAACTTCAAAGTTGAAAGATTTTGTTTTTAAAACCTAATCTAGGCAAAAATAATGGGGTTTTGCCTAGATTAGGTGTTTTTAAAAACAAAAAATCTTTCAACATTGAAGTTGCTGTTTAGTGGATAGGTGAGTGCTGATCTTGTGTAATATATATATATATATATATATATATATATATATATATATATATTCTTGTTGTATTACTGCTGTTTTGCTTTCTTTTTACATTTATATAATTTAAGGAGATAAACACATAAAAGATATAAAACATGTACAATCAAAATGCTGCACATAAAAAAACTCTGGGCACTATGAACATTTCAAATTTCTAAAGTGGCCATGGTGCTTGGAGTAATCTTTTAAGACATTTGAAAATTTAATGTCTTCACATTAGGTGTCATGCACAGCAAGATGGCCCACAGCGCCATTAAACTATCCTATCCAAGTATTGAATTGCTCTATTATAGCTGGATTGTTAACTCTGATTGTTTCTACTCTGATTGTAAACTATACATTCCAAGCTATTTATCTGCAAATGTTTAGGGCAACACAAATTTGTTGTTTTTTTCAGTTAATTTTAGTTCTGTTTTTTTGAAAAACATCAAATTTTATCACATGACAGGAGGCTTCGTATTTTGCATAATCTTTCTTTACTATCTCCATAGCAGCAAAGAAATGAGTGACAAAACTTTTAACCAATCACAACGTAGAATAGGGTATAAGAGGTGAGACCTATGACATCATTTCCTCTTTCTTTGCTGCTCCATCACAAGCTAAGTACCAAATTTTGTATTATCTATTCAACATACACTTTTCATTTACATGACCTTTTGTTTCACTGTACCTTTATATATTTACCCTATTAATGCTCTTAACCCCTGTATACCAGGGGACCCTGTCTGGCTCCCTAACTGTCTTTCACGGCTTTCCCGCCGTCTGTACTTTTCCTCCATTTTCTCTGTTTCTCTTTAACAGTTTTCTGTTCTTTTTACCGAACGCGTTATTCGGTAGTTTTGCGCATTCGCCTGTTTTACTCGAATGCCCGCGCGACCGCACATTGACTATTCGTTTCTAACTACCGAACGCTTCGTTCGGCAGTTTGACGCGATCGCCTTTTTAAATGTTCGCATCTATTTCTATTCGCACGTTCGGCAGTTCGCATACATCTTCTATTCACGTTCGGCAGTTTTATGCGAATGGCAAGCTTACAGTTTGCCGCCCAAACTGGGGGAGGTACTATTCTCCACACACTGAGCCTGTCAGTCCGGCGGCCATCTTAAAGAGATAGACACTGCCTGATTTTTCTGCTCCTGCTATTCCAACAAGCAATTGAAAAGCCTTACCCTTTTTCACTCAGTGGGACCAGGTTAGTGCCTTACACTTGGGGTTGGTTTAGCCAGTTGGTCTGCACCTTATTCTGGCCGGGGTGAGCCCCCATTTTACGCTGCTAAACGGTCCTGTTTATGCAGGTTCCGATCACCTGGGTGAGCCCCAGTGAATCAGCCCTCTTCTCTACGACCTACCGGTCTCTAACCACAGGTTATTTAGTCCTGATACCATACCACCCCGGTCCCCAGGCCTCTCCATTAATCGTGCCTAGTGCCCTCACGCAATTTACCGGGTGAGCCCCGAATCCTCATTCCTCATAATGGAGGAATCACAAACCCCAGACCTCCAGGCCATGATAACAGCAGCCGTGGCTGCAGCCATGGAACAAGCCGCTTCCAAGTCGCTCCAAACAAACCCTGAGGTTCCCAGGCCCACCTCTAAACGGGTTCATTATAAGGCGGACTCCGAAGACTCTGACTCTTCCAGGGAACACTCCCAACAGCGAAAACGCCATTGGAAGGGCAATGTAACCCCACGCAAGGCTAAAGGAAAAGCCCCTGCTGATCGCAGGAAAGCCACGGTTCGTGCTACCCACGATGCCACACAACTTTCCTCAGGTGAGGAAGATGTAGAACCCACTCAGGCACTAGCTGTGCTGGATGAATGGCAGGCGGCAGCCTCTGACCAGGGGGACTCTGACAGGGATTCCACGGCCAACTCTGACCCTTACTTCATAAGGGAACAGGGTCTGGGTGAGCCCCAGGACTCCATGGCAACATCCATTGATAACCCACAGGAGGGCTCGGAGATTTTCCTCGACAATTCGGGCCTCCAAATGTTTGACCCAAGAAACATCCGGCACCCCCGTTCGGAAGAATGGTCTCCACCTGAGCATTTGGCAAGGTTTATGCACTTCTGGCTCAGAAAACCGCTAGACAAGGAGGTTAGAAACCGGATGAGATCCGAATGCCCTCGCCCTAGTCTACCGGACAAAGTGACGCACACCCCCGAGTTTGACCCGCTCATGACTACGTTCATGTCCCGAGGGGGTCGGGATCCGCGCAAGGGCATAGAGCGCGGCTTTAAAGGAGCGCAAGATAAGCTGCTAGATGCCATTGGGCCACTAGCCAGAATCATGGATATGGCGGATGAAGCCTATGAGAGGGCTGACACTTTTACCCCAGATACGGTGCGTGAATGGGCACGAGATACCCGTGAATGGGCACAAAGGTGTTTCTGTTTCTTAGGGAACACCAACGTAGCCCTCTCTTCGGAGAGGCGCCGAGCAGCACTTTACCGTATCGACGAAAAACTGGTCGAACTGGGGGATAAGGAATTAGGACCCTTAGCACAGGGTAAACTATTTGGAGAGGCCTTCCTTAAGGAATTAAATAAAAGGGTCAACATATTTACGTCCCTTAACAAGGCACAATCTTCAATGCGGAAAGTCTTCCGCGGTTCCCACACCCGTGGTGTTTTTGGAAGGGCTGGACGGCAGAGGGGCCGTGCCGCCAGCCGTTTTTGGCCATCCGGCCCCCGTACAACAAGGACTCAGATGTTCTACCCAGACTCATCTAGTCGAAATAGATTCAACCACTTCAGGGGATCTGATCGTGGCCGAGGCACCCGAGGACGCTCACGAGCAAGATTCTCCAACGGTAAGTCGGAATCTTACTCTTCCTCTAACCCCCTGTCATATCGCAGGTCGTGTCTCTCTTTTTTTCCAGAACTGGAAAGAACTATCTTCAGATGCGTGGATAATCCAAACGGTGCAGGGCTATCGAATAGAGTTCGACTCGACCCCGCTCCAGCTGACCCCTCCACGTCCAATCCAGACTACACGAGCAGATGCCCGCCTCATAGACGCGGAACTCCGAGAACTCCGCTCCAAGGGTGCCATTCAACCGGCTCCGGATGCCACCGGTTTCTACAGCAATATCTTCCTGGTCAGGAAGAAAACAGGCGAATTTCGCCCCGTTATCAATCTCAGGGAGCTCAATTCGCATGTAGTATATCGACACTTCAAAATGGAAGGTATACACCTCCTCCGGGACTTGCTTCGACGCGACGACTGGTTCACTCGTCTGGACCTCAAAGATGCGTACCTTACCATTCCGGTACACAGAAGCAGCCGTCCCTACCTCCGCTTCTTCTGGCACGGGATTCCTTGGCAGTTCACCTGTCTCCCGTTTGGCCTCAGCTCGGCCCCGTGGTGTTTTACCAAGATCATGAAGCCGGTAGTGGCAAAAATCAGATCCCAAGGTATAAGATGCATCATCTACCTCGACGATATCCTGATCTTCGACGAGGATGCAGACACTCTGCGGAGACATACGGAATACGCACTACACCTTTTGGACTCTCTGGGTTTCGTCGTCAACCGTCCCAAGTCCGCATTGACCCCGGCTCAATCAGTTCAATTCCTCGGATTCGTAATAGACTCCACATCATGCACTCTTCACCTCCCGGCTACCAAAATTACGGCAATCCGCAGGGAGATCCGGAAAGTCCTTCGTCGGACTACCATACCCCTACGATTACTGGCACGGATCGTAGGCCTTCTCTCCGCGTCCATCCAGGCCATTTTTCCCGGGCCCCTGCACTACAGGGCCATGCAACGCCTCAAGGCAAGTTTCCTTCGCAGACAACCGACATACGACCAACCGGTTCCAATGTCGGTCGAAGTTCGGGAAGAACTACACTGGTGGCTGAATTGCATGCAGGCTTGGAACGGCAGGGCCATATTCGGGAACCAGCCAGACTTCGTGCTGGAATCGGATGCCAGCCGTTCAGGCTGGGGGGCAACAGACGGAACCACGTCCACAGGAGGAGTCTGGACTTCCGAAGAGCTCTCGATGCACATAAATTGCCTGGAACTCTTGGCCGGGTCCTTCGCCATTCGCAGCCTGGCAAAGGACCGATCCAACTGCTGCATCCTACTCCGCATGGACAACGTCTCAGCGGTCAGATACATCAACCGCCTTGGAGGCACTCGTTCTCGAACACTGGCGGATCTCACGAAAGAGATCTTCGACTACTGCCTACCACGCAACATCACCTTGCTGGCAGAGCACTTACCAGGAGACTCCAATACGACGGCGGATTGGTACTCACGCCACTGGCGGGACGCCAGCGATTGGCAGCTAGACCCTCACATTTTCGCGCTACTGGATGCACAGAGGGGACCTCTCTACCTAGACCTTTTCGCGTCCCGCAACAATCGACAGACAGAGTTTTCTTCAGCTGGCTCCCAGACCCGGAGAGCCTTGCAACGGACGCTTTTCTCCAACAATGGCCAAGGGACGGCGCCTACGCATTCCCTCCTTTCGCAATGATAACGAGGGTCCTTCACCGGATCCGTCTACAGGGAGTGAGAATAATTCTCATCACGCCGCTCTGGCAGAGCCAGCCATGGTTTACGGACCTTCTGGAACTCTCAATCAACGACCCCCTCCTCCTTCCAGATGCCCCAACCATCCTCAGGAATCCATTGGGCCTTCCTCACCCACTAGTCCTGCAGGAACGCTTGCCCCTTGTGGCCTGGACTCTTTCCGGGGTTCCTGGAGAACCGAAGAATTATCGCAGGAAACTAAGGACCTGCTATGGGATTCATGGGCACCAGGAACTAGGAGGTGCTACTTATCAGCATGGCACTCCTGGACAAGTTGGTGTGTGGGACGGGACCTCAATCCCTTTACTGCACCTACTCACTCCATCATGAATTTCTTAACTTCACTTTTCACCGCAGGAAAGTCATACCGTTCCATCAATGTGGTACGGTCAGCCATCTCAGCGGCTCACACTCCGATACAGGG